ATTGTCTTCTACGAGGACAATTATTAGTCCCAAGGAGCAGTTCCGGAAAATTAATTTGTTAATTTCTATGAAGATAAAATAATAAAATAAATTTTTTTTATAAATGCGTGAACAAGAGGAAAATTTGAAATAACTCGTAAAAAACAATATTCGAAATTTAAACATTACTCGAAAATATATACATATATATTTGTATGTAAACATTTAATATAGATGGATTAAATACTCACACTAAATATTACGAATCAATATTCATATCAAAACAAAACCGTATTACATAATAACGTCGTAGTAACGATTACGATGGGGTTTTCAAATTTTTATTATTCATCAGAGTAGAAATTCCTAATAAAATTTTTAAATCTGTGTTCGAATATTTATCTGTATTATCATAATACAGCAATTCGTTACCGTTATAAAGATAATTATATAATTAATATTCGAAAAACTGTAGTCGGTTTGGTCGATTAACGCAGAGTAAAATGTTCGCAATAGTCGTATTTCATGAATACCATGTACGGACTGATATTTCAAAATCGAGTAGATGATGGGTTAATATTAATTTTTTATTCTTGTGTATCCACTATAAGTAATCTGAATTATGAAAATGTATCATTGTTTTGAACATGGCTCATTAATATGTTCAGCTGCATATGATATTGAATACACCTATGTGCACACTTATATTGAATGTATGTAAACCATTGAAAAATAAACATTTTAATGTTACTTTCAAAGTGCATCTGAGCGAATTGAGTGTATGTTATAATACAAGTAGGACAATCGTAGATAGTTTTTCAAACTATCTATCGGTAAAATTTTTGTTGATTTTTCTTTTTTTTTTATTAACGTTTTAATTGAAATGAAAAAAAGTGAAAACATTTAAAAACTTTTATTCTTCGTCAATCATGAAAAAGTTAAAAACTCATTGTTGCAAACAAACTCTCAACATTTTAATTATACGAGAAAAGTTTTCTACTCATTTATTTTTTAATAAATTATATTCCGGTCGATAGAAGGGGAGTAAATCGGAATTATTTAAGTTTTGGGGTCAATCTCAAATTGCAAGCCAGCCTAATCTGCAGGTCATCAAATATGTGATAACGACACTTTTTTGACGTACTAAGTCATCAATAGTTAAATCACAGATCCTTAGATTTGTAAATTTAATTTTTTTTTGTTTTTAGATAGTTATAAACACGTGTCTCTTATTACACATTATAATTAGTGAAATCCAAAGCTTGCTGGAATTATGTGACTTAGAGTTCATCCAAACGACACTTCTCAGTTCAATTTCCGAGCACAAGTTTCCAATCACAGTAGATTTATCTGTTTTAATATGTATTACGAGTACTTTTGTTTATTTATTGCGATAACAGTTATTTGGTTTGTATTGAAATAATGAAGTTCGACGACGGTTTATTAGTCTCCATATTGTGCACTAGGGCAGCGGTTCCCATAAACATATTGTTTAATTTGTAATTGTATCATCTTTGGTAAACTAAATGCTTACTATCATGATAAAAAATACTAGGTAACAGTTACTATCAACATTTGTTTAATATAAAGTTTAAATATTTAGTATTATTGTTCTAATTATTTGAATTTCCTATTACTACCATACGATGGCAAATACAAATATGAATAAGAATACGATGAATGAGACTTTAGTTGAAGTTCTTAAAAGTTTAGTCAAAACAAACGCAACTGAAGACTCAGACGTTAATGAAAACATTTTTGAAGATAAAGGATTATCATCTGACAGCGAAGAAGATGATGACATTGTCGTAGTAAATGATAATTTTACTTTATCTTCAATGATGGAAGATTTGAATAGTATGGGCACTTTAAATGGTGTTCCTGTTCACGAGTGTTCAACTGAAGGAAAACCCTGGTTAAGACCGTATGCAGATAATACTGATTACTGTAGCTACGGGTTTAACGAATACGCATGGTTAGAATACTATGAACATCAAAGGGAAATGCGTTATAGAGAATCACCCAGTAGTAGTAGACACACAGAGAGTGATGTTGAAAGTCAAGGAACAAGCTATAATGAAGAAAGGGTATTTAAACACTTGTCTCATCGTCATCGTTCTAGAAGTCGTACACATGAAAAACTTTCTAGGAAACGACCATCGAATGAGGAGTGGGTACATTGTGGCCAAAATAAGAAAAAGAAGTCGGATTAGAACAAGGAATATAACAGTGAATAATTTATACATTTTATGATGTAAATTTATGAAATTAATTCTATATTCTATTATTATTATTTTGACATAATTTCCATAATTTGTTAATGGTAATTAAAGGTTTATTGCAACCGACATTGTGTTTAACTAGTGTTTGCTTAAAGTATATATTTCAATAAAATTAAACTTCGGAAATTAATGAATGTTGTCATTTAAAATGATAAATATAAAACCTTACAAAATAATACATGTATCAATATTTAGCACTATTAGTAAATATATAATTGTACTTATATAATTAAAGCACTGTTTACTTTTTTAACAGTTCTTTCGCTTTCTCTCGGTATGTATTTACATAAAATATAAGCCTGCGGAATTCGTTGCACCTATGCTCTAAAAATCAAATACACTTGTCCAATTTTTAATGATAAGTTATTAAAAAAAAAAACAACCTAAATTCACTATTTGTAGTACCTATAATATTTAGAATCATTGCTTTTTCTCGAAAGATAAGTAGTATAATAAAATGTTTTCAGCTTTTGTATTTTATATTTATAAAAATATTGATTGCATAGTTTTATATAGGGGAATCTTTATATGATTAGATCAGTTTGGGGTAAATCAACGGAATAACATCAGGTACACAGAATTGAAATTATGTTTATAGTCTACTCTGCAAAATAATGAATTCATTAAAACTGCTTGATGATCAAGTGGTCCCAGAGCCAATCTGTTATAGAAATTCTCATTTTCACTTTTATTTATAATATATATATATATATTAAAGGCCTGCACGGGCCGGACCTTTAATTATCATAAAGTTATGGGCCGGGGCAGACCGGGCCGGACAATATTTTGGACAAAAGTTACGGACCTGGCCGAGCCGGACTATTTTTACGACTAAAGTTACGGTTCGGGCCGGGCTAGGCCAGACTTATCTTAAATAAAATTAAAATTTACATTATGCGATATTTGTTGTTTAAATTTTTAATATTAATTCTATAAGATGTTTTTTTATTATTAAATATGTTGTTAAAGATAAACAACTTTTTTTAAAATTGTATTAAAAGTGATGTTTTAAATTAATAATATTTTAAAAGTTAGTTATAATATATTAGGTACTTAGTACTTACTACTTAATTTGTTATACAAAAGACTGAGTACTTTATCATTTCTTTTTCATTTCTAACCGAGCCGGGCTTTCTAAAAATGTTACCGGGCCGGATCGGGCCGGGTTTACTCACCTAAAACTATTTGCGGGCCGCGCCGGGTTTTTTAAAAATGTTACCGGCTCGACCGGGCTGTAAAGTATTGGCCCGACCTATAACCTTAGGTAAGGCCTAACTTGACCTTTAATATATATACATACGAGTACGAATATCTGTTTTATTCATTTATTTACACATTACTCATTTCATACGGAATGTAAAAGAAAAAAGACAATCGTGTGACATGAAACGATCGGAGTACGACGACGTATAATAATTCACTCTGTTGAAATCGATTACGATAAATAAATTCGGTGTACTTAATTTATATTCGATAAAAGATGTATTTTAAACATGTACGCGCGTGCTTTACTGCGTCGTGTTGTTCGTTCATTACATCGGTTCGACAGTGGTCAAGTGGTCACTATAGTTGTTACCAATAATCCAATTAATCACTGTTGATGATAGGTCCTGCAGCTACCCTTCGTGGTTTCCACTTGCTGTATACAATGTAACCTACACATGGTGCACGTATAAATTTGAAAAAAAAAACCCAAATATTTATTTGAATGGTAAATAATATTATTTTTTTCCGATTATCGATATCGTTATTTATCCTATGTATAATATACACATTTGTGTGCGCGTCTTATTATCACGGCTTAAATCATCGAACCTGAGTATACGTAATTAAATTCTATTGACTAAGTTACGATCATCTTGATTAAGCAACAATGGTATTATACAGAACAAGTAACTAATCAAGTTGATTCAATTACTAATAGGATAAAGTGACTCTGTTCAATTTAACAATTGAGAATGACTTTTTTTATATTCTTACATACAATTGTACAATATGTAACGGAAATTGTTATAAGTCGTAAAAAAATTACGGATACTTGTAAAACAAACGTCGCTTATAAATACTACTCCTTGAACGGCGCATGGTTTCGTTAAACAATTTTATACCTTAATAATAGATAAGAAGTTTTAAGAATTTACGATCGATTAAATCATAACTCGTTTAGTTAATGATCCTTTAAAGCAGTTCGAAAGCTTCAGAGTCACTTATTTTTTGTAACTAAATTGCCCAGAGTTATCATTATAATATGTATAATAAAGATCCCGCTTTGTGGATAACGATTATTACATTTTATGAGCATCCGAACAAATGGAACATATCTATAACTGCCATAAAATACGGACACTATATAATACACGTATCGAATAATCAAATTTAATGTAATTAAACGTATTATTATTATACAGCGAACCATATAGTGGCACGTATACTGTGCACATGTACCGCGGCAATGCACACGATAAAAAATTCTAATGCAACCGATTGATTTCCGTAATTTGAATAATTCAATGTGCGCTTTTGAATGAAACGATGGGGACGTGTAATAGTTTCGAAACGGTGGATCATACATATAGTGAACGGTGGTGGACACGGGAAGGATTAAAGGCAATTGTTATGTTTATCGGAGTGTTGAAATAATTACTTATACAATCGTATTGCAATTTGTCGAAATCAGTCTGAACGCAGTGTAGCGCACGTAGACCATTCGCTCGCGCTCCCTTGATAGTCTGATAATCGTTTCGACAAAGCTATACATTTTACGGTTAACAGAAATTAGCCTGCAGGATACGTTACGTATTATTATATCCTCAGTTGTACGTTTCAATTACACAGCTGCTGTAAATCCTGCGTGACCACTTCCCCGGAAGGTAATGCGACCAACCAAAATCCAATTACTGTTATCATTATTATTTTTAATTCGTCCGATTACGTACGCTTCTGGTGCACAACATGTGTTCGGCAAACACCGCACGCGTGTGTAATTAAAACGATAAGCGCAGAAATCGTTTTTCTATGAAATTAGAAACATAGTTTTAAACATCGTATGGCATAAGATACAACAATGTAAGTATACGTTTTATTATTATGAATATCATGTATAATATATCGAGTATATACCAATATAACTGGTGAATATAAGTGCCTGCATATACTTTTAACTATAATACACAAGTATATTTATATGTTGTACTTTTTAGTACAAGCTTTTGAAGTTTCTACGAAAACAATTCCCAAGCATTTTGAATACATGATTGGGTACTCGTCCATTTTACTCAAACGGTGAACATACGCACGTTTTTTGTATACCGTGATTTAATAAAAAAACAAATTATTATTTCGTAAACATTTCCGTCCAACAAATACATCGTAGAATACATATTAGATAGAGTTCAACAAGACATATTTTACAAAAACTGCTATTTATTTATTTTTCTTGCGGTTTATGGAGATGCTTGTGTTTTTAGATTATAACTTTTATTTAAAGTGTATTATATGTATGGTTACAAAACGCGTACAGTATATAGTTATCGTTTTGGTTACAGTTGTTTTTCTTATTGACATATTTTCACTTTGAAAATCAGATTTTAGAAAAGACATTTCTTTTGATCCCAATTATTAATCACTGTGAAATATTGAACTTCGCCAATTTTTTAATAATCATCTTAAACTATCATAGATTAATATTTATATAATGTTAATGTTATTTCCTGTATCACGTACCTGTTCAATATTATTTTCCCTCTGTTTAAGTCCAAAATACGATAAACCTAAGTGTCTTTAAATGAAAAATACCGAGTTTAATAATTCAGCAAATTCTAAAAAGAAATCTTATAAATGAGGATTGTCCAATAACGGATACACACGTATACGAATGATTATTGATGTCATACAAAATTTATTTTATAATTTTAGTGTTGTTATTAATCACATGGTTTAATTGATCGGTTAATTTTACTATCAATGTTGGAATAATGGTTTTAAAATGCGACTAACGATAAGGTTTAATTATATTTTAAACTGGAAATTATGTTTTCTCTGATAACGTTTAATTTATGTTGTTTATAAATATCCTAATAAAAAAAACAAAACGAATAATTCATTTTATTTCTGCCATAAAAATTAACTTTACGAACGTCATAAAAGAGGCATTAACATTTGTTGTTTATAGAGATTTGCCAATTTTGGACACAAGTTATGAGCAAAACTTAACAACAGAATATACTTTTCAATTTAAAAAGGCTTTTGTTAGCTTGCGTAATAAGGAGGTTTAATGTACTGCAACGAAAATCGTTCTATTCTCTTTTTCACCGATACGAACATGCGTGTGTGTGCGTGTGTCAGTTGATTTATACAGGGAATATATTATAAGTCTTGGGAATGTTTTCGTTAAATTTTTATTATTCTTTGTAATTGTGCTTAGCGAGAAAATAAAACATAATTTTTTCTGCTCAACTGAAGAAAAACTATAAAATATTTATTACAATATAGGTATAATCTGAAATTTCAGTAACATAACATAATCATTTTTTTTTAGCGATTTATTTATATCTCTACACGTATATCTTTAAGTTAAATTTTTTTTTTATGTCTTGTCCCTCTGTTTTAACACCGATTTTATTAACGAGTTGGAGAAAATTAGCTCTCGTTTATCCGTAGAAGTCATTAGTCCTTCCCAACAAATAAACTAGGACTAAGTGAGAAATCTCGTGTTTCAAAAAAAAAAAAAAAAAAAAAAATAAGTAAATAAAAAAATAAATATACATAAAAAAAGTGGTATAACCGAATTGTTTTTAAAATATTATTATTACTCTCTCTGGGGACCCGGGCGTTAATTAAGAGTTTTTTTTTTCTATTTATTTATTAAAAAAGAAAATACGGATAAAAAGGAAAACTATTGCTTTTTGTGTGTACGTAGTATGTGTAGAGTTATATGTTTTGCAGAGTTTAAAATCTCACTATACGTACAACTACTTATAGAGAGAAGTGTTAAAAGTTATTACTTACAAGTCTGGATAATTGCAATTTTATTATCATCTGTTTTTTTATCTCTCCCTCGCCTACTTTTTAATTCATTTACTTAAAAACAAACGCTATGAACTCAAAATTATTTATCAGACAATAGACGTCTCGATTAACACGTTTTTTTTTAATTTGGCTTCGGCCATCGTAATTTATCAACACGGTTGCATTTATTATTTCGGATAGCATATTTTTACTTTTATTTTCCTTCGAACTAGTCAAAATTCAATTGATTAATATACGTAAAACAATTGATAATATATTAGTATTAACAATCAGTGGCAAAACGTATACATGACTGTGAATACTCATATAGTACTATGCCAACCGGTGGCTAACCTGCAGTGATCCATTGAAAAGGTTCAGTATATTTTCGTTGTAATAATATTATTTTATGTATTAACTTATGATTTTATTTTAAACAGCTAAACATCTAAAATCAAAGAAAAAACTAAACTATACATAATATACATTTTGCCAGTGATAAAAATGTTATAATGTATGAGATTACCTGATACAGGAAAGTATATCAACATTTAATAATATATAAAAAAAATCCGGTAATTTAATACAATTTTAAATTAAACATTTTCACAATAATATTGTAACTTAAATAAATATTCATACATAACAATTCATATTGTAACCACCATAGAGCATAACATTTAATCTAAATCATTTAGAGTTAGGGTTAGGTTATTAACCTAACCCTAACCCTATATATATATATTACTGCTCCATAGGATAATAGCTGATAGCTAATTAACATTATTGTTTTGAATTTCTTTTTTCCGTCCTTGATTTAATTATTGTTTGTCCCATCTCGTCAACAAATTAATAAAAAAAACAAATTTGTCTTTATGCTAACCTTTATGTTCTTTGGGATAAGTACACGAGTGTAGAAGAATAAAACATTGCACAAATCGTTAATGAAAATAGTTGGCAAAAAATGATTTTTTTGAATTTCAAAAAATTAAAATTTTTCTTTTGTATATATTTTCTACAGAACTTAAGGTATACAACTGTATAACAACAATAGCATAATGTAATTATATTCATAGAAAAATAAAACATTTAAGTATATAAAATGTATTATTTTAATAAATACTGCGGTTTTTGGCTCGTAATAATTTTTTAACTAAATTGTCCCCACCAAATAAAATAAAATTCAACCAAAATGTTTTCGTTTGATATATATAATATATAAATTACTGATATTGTTTAATGACCCAATTATTATATAACGATTATAATGGACCCGTAATAGTAGTGGAAATGTATGTGTTTTTAAATATTACAAAGATAAACTCATACGTTTTTAAAGTCTATAATATTAATAATGTTTTTCACCGAGCGTCACAGATATATAAGTATCATCTAATTAATCATTATCTATTAAAAAAAAATGTATAATATTTAGCTGCGAATTCTCGCGCAACTCGTTGTAGTAAGCCGTTGAATTTTGGTAAGTCAATAATATTATCGTAAACGAATTTTATTTATAAAGTAAAAAAATTTAAAAATTTGGCTTTAATTCCTAAAATTACACGAATGATAGCAGCAATGAATATTCAGAATAATATAAATTTACATAAATTAACTATTTTAATATATTTTAATAACAAATATTTAAAATGTATTAATATTATATTATTTTATGATTATCATTGAAAATATTTTACTCCCCATATAACATAATTATATTGTATACTTTTTTATCGCTTAATAATTAAAAAAAAATCAAATAAGAATGAAAATATAATTTAATTAATTTATAACATACTATTTTTAACTAGTTTTGAAAAAATTAGATTTTTGGCCAACTATTTTTATTTTTGGACCACTGTGCGCCGTCTCGAACTTTCTGGCTGCCGTGTCGTATCCCGGAATCGGTTCCTGCCTCTTTCTAGAAACTTCTCGGCGCCGGGTTAGCGTGCTTTCCCTTTTACCCCTTTCGTCAGCCTACCCAGTTTACTCATTGCACAGCCGTGAAGGTACGTACCGGGAGTGGCCAAATTATGACTTATCATTGTCATATACGGCTTGAGTTTTATTTATAAAATTAAAATTGACTTATCATATTATTATTGTTTTGAATTTCAATTTTTTTGGTCTAAATTTATTTTAAATTATCAAATCAATTCAATTTATTAAATTATCAAATTATTTTAAATTGATCTATAAACATTTTAGCTCTTGGAATTATTATGTACTTATCCGCGTGGCCCGTGAACCTGAATAAATTGAATACGTTGGTCACCTCTGGTACATACACACCACCGTGACTGGCCATCGTCAAATTAGAATGTGTATGCGGTGCATTCCCGTGTATGTATCGTTTTTCGTCTTGATTATTATGATACATCCGGAGCCTTGATTATCACTCCGAGTCGAATCAAATTATTACCGTTTTCAATCCGGCGGTCATGCGATAATCGATAATATTTGTCAATAATGTCAACTTGTATCATTATACTTATTTTGTTAATATTATTTTCTTATTGCCAGTACGAAATATTATTTATTATTATATTTTATTTTGAATGCGTTATAGTAGCGCCCGCAATTATTACATTATTTTATAAGCGTTGTTATTGATTTCTTGTATACGTATATTCTTTGAAGTATAATAAAGTTCATTTATTATTAATTGTTACATGTATATTGTTATTTTGAATTTATGTCTATAACATAGTGACACAGCGCACAATAAAATGAATCGCCCCATGTATGTAAGAGAATAACTTGTATTCATAGCTGTCTGCACAAGGTTTGTACGAGAGAATATGTCGAGAAAGTCTATCGAATAGGTAGAACATTTGTTACTATAATATATGACCTGTTCGATGGACTTCGAAACTACATAACCGATGTTGATGAAATTTGGTACAGAGATAGATTAAACCTCGGAGAAGAACATAGGCTACTTATTGTCACAAGAAAAGGAACGAGAGACATCAGTACATCACCTGACAAAACTTGAACGAACAGTTGTTATTTTGTTGTTGCTATAACAACCGAATAAATGAAAAGGAACCCCATCACACACTACAGTGTTCACCTAGAAAATGGCGAACGTGTTTATTTTACTGAAAATAATTTCCAAGAGCTACTATCTTCTCTTCAATAAACGGAACTCATCGCCCTTTTTGATCTCTGTACAAGAGATTAATTTGCAAAACATGTTCTGTAAATTGAGGTACCGATGTACTACGCATGTAACACAATAGAAAGATAATGGAAACGACGAATTCAAGAAAACAGATGGCAGTGGAATTAGTTTATTGGCACTTTTATTATTATGATATATATATATATATATACATTTGTAAACACTACAGTTACTATTTTTCGATTCGATGCGTTAATGTATCACAATTTGTATAATTAATACACATACTTAATGATATTATTTAATACACCACTCGTCGTAATAACCCAACAATCATAAACTACACATAATTATACATATATGAGTGTAACTTTATGAATCATTATACAACGATGTTTTTATTTAAATTTTTTTATTAAAATTGTATTTTATTTTTCATCGTGTAAACAGTTATACGCTGTTAGAATGAATTACTACGAGTATAGTTGGTTTTTATTTCTGTTTTCCTTTTTCATTTAAAAAATTAACTTTTTTCAATTTTTAGGGGAACACCTATGACTTTGGCAAATGTACCGTACATATTTTTGAACATGCGGGAAACAATTCGTATGCAATATTTTTACATTTATTTTAATTAATCATCTCTAAAGAAATGTTGATCGTAATAACTTTCTATGTGTAAATAAATTGTGGTCTATTCTTTCAGAGAAAAGTGAATAAATCACAATAACATAAAACACTAGACGCGATTCTGCAGCTGATGTTTAGTGACTATATACCTAGGTACTTGAGAGAATTATGACACTTTTCACTTTGTAAAATATTATGATTTTATTAAATTATTCTAATGCTTAAATTCAGTGAACAACCATCATCACTGTACGACATTTTTACGGTATCAACATGTTCATATCATAACTTGATCACACATGTTTGGTTAAAGTATATTACTAAAAAAAAATTTATTTTATTTATTCAAGTTAAGAAATATTTGTGATTTATTTAAATTAAAAATAGGTAACAACTACTTCCAAACATAATACATTAATCTTATTCAGTTCAAAAACTTATGTAATTTTTTCTTTTATATTTATAAAACGATTAATATTCTCTATTTATTTTAATAAATGTACTTTAAAAATAAACTAGCTTTCTTCTAAAATCCATAAAAATAATATTTTTTCTAGATGTATATTTTTTAAAGTAAGTGGTTAGTTATGAAATCGTATTAAGATATGAAAAACATCTTATACCTGTGGAAAATACAATTTTTATTTTAAAAAAATACTAGAAAAGTTGCACGATTATAATTTTTCTATTTATATCGAATAAACCAAAATTATGAGTATAAGCGATTATAGTTAATTTTATCATAAAATTCGAATGTTTATGGAACAAATTTTTTTTCGAGTTTTACCAACGCGCGTTATGTCGATAATATTCAAAACACGTAGTAAAACAAAAATGTATTATAAATGAAATTGTAAGAAATATCAACAAAGTATACTGTATTTATAATGAATTGGTAATACAATTTTACAATAATTTTAATAAATACATATTTTAATTTTTTATCATATTACAATACTTTATAAACACAAAAATTGTTTTATTTTTTATTTTTATTTCCTTATCGAATTGAAACTGTTTTATCATTTCCATATTATGTTTAAAAGTAAACACAATAAATTTAGGATCCATCAAAGCAATGACTGGTATTTAACAATGTTCATTTTATCTATTATATAGTCTATAAAAGGTGTCCCTTCCCCTTAGTTGATCACGGATAATTAAACAAAGCAAATCAAGATCCCGATAACTGAATAAGTTTAAAAAAATATTTTAGATTAATAAATTCAAATCAGATGTGTTCCCATCATGGTGAGCTAAAGCTTGTAATTTTTTATTGGGTTTTTTTTTTACAGATATGTATATTTATATGTCTATAATAGTTGTTAATAGTTAAAAATAGTTGTTGATCCATTTTTAATGTTGGAACTAATTTATGTATTACACATTATATTTAAATTTTAAAGCTATAACAAAAAAAGAAAATATTAACCCATATAATCATTTTTTCATACTTTCCATATATAATTTGAAAAATTAAATGTTTTTAAAATATCTGTTAGAAATTTTGACTTTATTATATTGCAAAAGTTCCAGAAAAGTTATCCAAAAAAGTATTTGCTAAAAATTCGTTGTTCCCGTTTAAAATACAAAAGTTGATATTGCCATAGTGTACTCATAAAGAGGTATGTATAATCTATTTAGGTATTGAAAAATGTAGTCTTTTTGATGCTTGAATACATTGTTCGAAAACCAGAATTTAAAAAAACTACCTGAATGCATTTTTTCAATTGGACATAAAAAAGTGATAAACAAAACTAATAACCACCATGTATAATAGTATTTCATGTTTAACCATATACGAGTATTATAGTGAATAATTGTATTTGCAAACCGGCCAACGTGTGTAAAGATGATGCAATTAGTGTCTTTTGATCTTTGTAAAGATGTCCACTGAACGAGAAAACACATCCGGCCAACATTAAGCACAAGCTGATGCTGACCAACGGTGTGCACCATCTGAAAAACCAATTAGAAAATAAGTAATTTAAAAATTAAATTTGTACAACTATCAGACTACAATCTATAATTATCATTGTGAACCAGCGAAAATGTATGAAAATTAATAGTTTTTTGCAATCCGATAAATATTGGTTACACTGGTATTTATAATGACCGATTGTTAAGATCTTCATAAAGTTTTACATAAATGTACCGGTATTGTTCATAAAAATAAACATGTTGTAAAAAGAAAATGTATTTTATCCTAAGATTAACAAAAACCAACGTTAACAATTTCTGTATTGCACTTATAGATAATCCCAACTATACGAAAAACGAACGATGGACTACTTCTGAGAAACTAAGAAAATATATTACCTTGGGCGAGTTCACTAGTTAAAGGAATAAAATTCGATATTAAATCATTGTGTTCGATGGTTTAACAACAAACTATTTAATACTGAAAATATTAATAATTCCTATTGAGGTATATTTGAATTAAATTCGATTGTATACGTGATAAAGAGTAAAATATGTCTTAGAGGTATTATGTCCTTTTTCTAATTTAACCGATCGTTTTTCCGCCTACGTTTAATCTCGTTAACTTTTTCTGGTAACCGAAGTAATTACATAATTTCTGTACATATACACCATGAAACGATAAGTTGATTAAATAATCAGGTCTAAGTCTAAAGGATACTCTGTAATTTTGAAGGAAATTTATTATTAGTATCCAGTGAGAAATAAAGAAATTCTAATAATAATACCACGATAGATTTGTAGCACAAATATTGTAGAGTTGAAAATACAAGTGAATATCAAATAGTTATTATTCAAACTTTACTTAAACAAAGTTTGAATATACCAAGGAGGGTATTATTAATTTAAGCATTTATCTACTACCTATGTTGCTAAAAAAATTGCTTTAATACTACGAAACAATGTACTATCCAAATAATAACAATCCTCTTATAATCGGCTTAGTGCACAACAATAGAACCACACATGAAGCTGATCCTTCATGGTCTTACGTGGATAAGATAACCGTGGGACGGCGTTCGATCGTTTCAATTATATTATCATACAGTTTGATGTCGAATTATGTCGATACCATGAAGAATACAAACCAAAATTATTTGTACAATTTTAGTCTTGTTCTCTGGAAGTGAAATAAAATGTTTCTATCTGCTTCCCAATCATTTTTATCTATTTTTATCTACACCATAACCGTGGTCAACGTTTGCATTGATTTTGTTTTTTCTCGGTGGGTACATAAAAAAATGCCGAAATGTATAAACTGCACGCTATCACCATCAAGCGCTGTTCGACGTACCTGCTCCGTTTGTATTGCAAACACTCAGGGTTGTGACTAAGACTTCTTTTCGGTACGACATCTAATTTCTGAGTTCAAGTGCACAATCTTGATAAATTATTTTATTTTATTTTTTCGGTTCATAGTAATTCTCGGTAAAATAACAAAACACACGTATATCGATTCACACTGGACAGGATCGCTCAACAGCAACACTTCTAAACACAGTCTTCTGGTTAAAAATTGTTTCGTATTCCAACAGCTATAATCGATTTTATTCTCGAACGGCGGATTGTTGGGAGGCAGGACGAAGCTGGCATGATCTCCCGTACGGTTCATCCGTGGACCGGACACATGTTGCGCGCTGATATGGATTGGATTACTATTGAGTCAGGATGGACGACCGAATCTGCGCGCATATAGATCCTGTCGATAAACAGTGACCTAATTATCCGTTCAAAACGTGCCGGCCTCGCGGTAAATAATCCGTAACACGCGTGTGCAAGTGAAATGGGATGGAAAAATGTACGTTCACGCGTCGATTGAAAACTGATATTGGGCGACCGGGGCCTTTTAACAGCGATAATACTATTGGACCTTCGGAACTAAGGAAAACAATCGCCGAAACAGTTTTATATATATATATATATATATGTGTGTTTGTGTATGCGTACATGTGAGTGTGCGTGTAAAGTGTGTATACCAGGAAAAGGAGAGTAGCACGGAGACGACATTCGAAGCAATTATTATTACGCGACAACAGTTTTTCGGAAATTGAATTCCGCCCTCTGTTGCGTATTCGGTGCCAAACACGAACGCTACTTTTGTAAATGATTTTTTGTACATATACACACTGAAATACATTGAGTATACTGCGCTGTAGTGACTTTTCTCTAGTCCGTTTCTCGTTATATATGATACGAAACGTCGTGAATGATGCTTGTTTATATAGCTGCACGATGCTCTTCTTTAGTGTACATCGCAACAGCAGGTCGGGCAACAATTTTTTTTAGAAATTAAGAATGATCATACCACATAGTTTTCTGAACGTAGTTTCGAACTATCGACCAATAACAGATCAATGCACCCCTAATAACTGACGTAGGTAAAAATAATAATAATAATAAAAAAAAACGTGTAAAGAAAAATATATTGGCGTAATCAGTGATCGTTTGAGCAGACATAATATGTATACACTATAAGATACTGTCACGGCCGAACACTGTCGATTAGCGATTTAATTTAGTAAGTAAACAGCCACTACTTTCTAATAATACTTACGTGGCCAACAATGATGCAGGATAATGATTTGCTGTATGTTTGAATAACGCATTTCACATCAAACTGGTACGTTATTCGCACATTAAAATATATTTTTTGTGCACACACCTTATTACATATTAAAATGTAATTAAATAAAAATTCTATATCATTTTATCCTGTTGGTGTTTTCATAGTTCATATCGCGTACAATATAATAAATATATACATCGTAAGTATCTGATTTTTTGATGATACAATGAAGAATATTGAAAAAAAAAAAGTGATTATTTGTGGTATTGGGGCGATGAAATTTGTACTTGGGAAATAATGTACATGGTTTGTTGCGGTACAAAATATAATATACGATACAAATGGATAAAAATATATATAATCTGTAGAGTTCGATAAATATCTGTTACGAGTATAATTAATGTATTCTATGTGTATATCTACATATAAATACCTTAACCCGAGTACTGTACCCGTTTACGCTAAAAAAATTCCGAAGTGTATTGTAATTCGGTTTGGAATTTCGCTCCCGATAAACTGTCTCGTAAGAGAGTCTTATAAATTTAAAACTAATTTGAACACGATAAATTACATTTTTCTGAAATTTATGGTCGCGCGTTAAGAACGATTACCAAATATACATATATATATATATATATATATATATATATATAATGTGAATCGCACATAGTCCACGGTTTTAATAATTTGTAATCATTTTTTATAAACTTTGAATGAAATTATTTCACTCGTCATGAGCATAAAAACTCTTCACGAGACCCATTATAAAGAACCATCGATCGGCTGTAAACGTATTTCTTCTAAATGTATCATGCGAATTATACAGTTAATCTCTGCTTCGGACTTTAGAACAGGTTCATAAATCCGTTGAAATGCACATTTTATAAAGTACACCTTACACTACGTTTCGTCCGGTTGCAACGATTTAAATCTCAGGTGTCATATTTCTTGACTGGAGTCTCGCGTCGGAAGTGGTTCGACACGCATGCACTTTTCCCGAATCTCTACAATAGAAAGACAATGTAGTTTTTTTTTTTTTTTTTTCGTGATGTGATTGTGTATTTTTCCTACGTTCATAAGCGTACATTTTAACTGTTCATGTTAAATTATAATTTTACTCGTAAATTAAATACTGCTATACGTCAATTATAATATGAGCCATTATTGGCGAATCAATAAATACCAGTGGGAAGATCATATTATAATATGATAATATTATAATATGATCTTGCCATAAGAAAATTTGATGTACGCCACTGGTATTTATTGATTCGCCAATAATGGCTGTATAATGTATGTATACATACATATTTTTTATGTTAATATTAAATGTCTAGTTTTACGCCTCCTCGGACGAAAAATTAGTGTTTCTGTGATTCCATCATAATTGATATATATTACATTTTATATATTTTCCATCCTAACCATTTCTAAACTGAAGCTTTTTTTTTTAGACCTCAGGAGGATATATCCCAGATCCCCTTTGCATTTTTACGCCACTGGTAAATACTCATGTCGTGCTTACGTGTCGTATTTTCTTGAGTCTAAAGCATATTGTGGCTACCAACTTCGTTGCGTTCGCTGCGGTGTGGATCATCAGTTACATAATTGCTCTAACTCACGGGATATTCTTCCAATATTTATACTTTGTTCTGGTAATCACTTAACCAATTGCAATAACTGTTCAATCTGTTAAGACCTCTAATTTCGAAAAAGACTCACCGCAACAGGTAATTTTGTGTATAACACTAAATCTACTTGTAAAATTGTAAATTTACAAGGAGCTATTTATCTAATTATCTAATCACAATATCTCTATTCAACCTCCGTCACAGACGTAATATCTACGTCCAACACGACCATTTATAATACTATACATCCAGCCTCAGAAGCTGAAATCCCTGAATTTAACAAATTACTGACATATTTTCTAGATTAATATAAATATATAAGTAAATTGACAGCGCTTCTGATCAAAGTTCTCTCTAGTTTACTAAATAAACAAAACATCTCATAACAATAAAAATAATTACCCCACCACAGAAAAATCTTAATTTATTTTTCAACTAAATGTTAATGGACTCAAAAACCACGCTCATAAATTAGTAACAGTTCTAAACAACAAGCATGTAGGTATTGCCATCATGGTTGAAACGTATTTCACAAAATATTCTTACTCATATATCCATATCCCAGTCTATGTTTTAATTAAAACCAATTATCTAGATAACATTGTGCACGGTGGTTTGCTATTTTTATAAAATTCACTATTGTACTTCATCCTTTATCTAATATGTATCAAGATTTTCTTCAATACTGTGTAATTGAAACTAAACAATACAACAATTACTACTGCTTCGGTATACTCTCGTCCTAAACATAATATCATCGAAATTCAATTCACGGAGCCCGA